GCGGATTCAGAGAAGGGGCGCGTCCTGCCAGCGCGCAGCCCGCGAGGGCGCCAGGCGGGCAGGCCGCCCCTCCCGCCGCCCTGGTGTCAGGGCCACCCGGTCTTGTTTTACCTCGTGGATCATCTCCGTGAGAAGTGGTTCCGGGTCAGGCCGCATACTGAGGTCCTCCAGCTCAAACTGGACAGCCATTCGTGTCATCTCAATTTCTTCATCTGCGAAAGACCCAAAGACGGGGCTCAGACGGTGCAGGCCAGCAGGGAGCTGGCCCGCGCGTCCTCGGTTGCTGGGTGTGGGCGGTCTCCTCTGCCTTCATCTGGGGCAGATCTGGGGTCACGTGGCATGTGTGTGGGCGAGGGGAGCCGCCATGAGGGCAGCGACCTGGGGAGATCAGGCCTCTCATCTGGCTTTGCCACCGAGCAGCCGCCTGGACCTGCTCTGAGCCTCAGCGTCCTTCCCCTCTGGAGGCCCTCGGGCCCCTGACCCATCCCAGTACCGCTGTGAGATGACAGTGGATGTGAAGGCACAGACCAGTGTCAGCTATTGGAACCAGTTCCAGAAAGATCTCAACATGGAACTGCAGCCTTGAACACAGCCTAGGTTGCATGAAACGGCTGTCAGGCCGGCTGGGACAGCCGCATGGCCCCTCCTGGCCCCTTCCTGGCAGCGAGCTCAGAGTCCTGCCATTTGCAAGGCTGAGGAACAGCATGGAGACAGAGACCCATCGCTTGGGGCACTTAAAGACAGTCGAGATGCCCTTCTGAAACGAAAGCGCCGAGTTCACTGACGTGTTGCAGGTTCAGGGGGCCGTCTCTTGGTCTTAAGCACCAAGGGCTTTCCCACTCACCAGCGTTATCTCCCAGGAAACGTGCCAACGCGCGGTGGGTGAGCCCGAGGGCTCCGACCATACAGTGCTCCCACACACCTCCCTTGTCCCAGCCCGCGCCTGCTGAGCGGCCCCGATGCACACCTGTTAGCCTGGGATGCAGGACCACGTCAGCCAGCAGGCCGACCACCGTGTCCAGGCCCTTAGAGTCAGCAGACACAGCATACATGGTGGTATCTCTGGAAAAACCAACAACGCCGGGCACCGAGGTCACGACGGGTGCACGCCAGGTGGGGCTGGCTATGGTTCTGTGCCCGCGACCGGCGCGCGGCGCTCTTGCCCACAGCCCGTCCCACACCGTGCGCTCCTCACGGGTGGGAACGAGCTGCCCGCAGGTCGCGTGTGGAGGAAGCGACGGTGTCCGGCCAGTGCGGACGAGAGCCAGTTGGAGCTTCCTAAAACATGGGATCCCTCCATGGTGAACCATTTCACCAGCGGTCTGAGTGTCCCCTGCATGAAGTGTCTGGCCCATGTGGGACCATGCCCGGTCTTAGATGGCCAGGGGACACAGACTGGTTGTAGCATGAGCTCAGAGCACGAGGCACTGTGATCAGACAGGCACACGCATGACAACCACAGAACCGCGACACGGAATGTAGTCGAGGGGGAGACTGCGCAGAAGAGACACAATTGCCATGAGACAAGTGAGCCTATGCGGGGGACGCGGCAGCCAACACCTCTGCAAAGCAGGGCTGTCCTTGGGGGGCTGCAGGACCATGTGGGAGAGTGGCAGGGACAAAAGCCTGAGCTGAAGAAGAGTGGGCTGTGTCGGGGTCAGGACAGTGGGCTGTGTGACCAGCAGTTCCCTGCAAAGTTGAAGAGGTTTGGGGCCAAGACACGGAGGAGCTAACACCTGGCACCGAGTGTGCCTGCGCTGCGGGGCAGCTGGGGCGGGTTCTAGGGCTTTGCAGAACATGGGGATGTGCAGCCTCCACGCTGACACGCACAGATGGGGTTCGACCTTTCACGCACACACTTCAGCGGTCAGACCTAAATAACCGGCCCCTTCAAAAGTGGGATCTTCGTCCACCCATCTCGTCCTGCCCTGACAGAGCTTTCTGAATGGGCACCGCACCCGGGAGACGACCGCCACTTGCCCTGGTCCACAGTGCCCACACCCCTCAGTGCTCCGGCGACAGGCTGGCCCTCTACCCAGCACACCGCTCCTCCTCCAGGCTGAGCCTTCACACCCACTGTTCCCAGGTCTCGGCCGCCTCCCTTTGCTCCGTTTGGCAAAGTCCTTCAAGAACCAGCCCCAGAGTCACGGTTTTTATCCGTAAGTCAATGACCGCTAACTTTCCTGACTCCAGACCGAGTTAGTAGCTCGTGCCTCATGCTCCCACCACCCGTGGCTCCTGGCTCTTGTACCCTTTACCTGTGGCACGGCCTTCTGCCCAATCTGTGAGCATCTTGGGGACAGCGCCTACTCTGTATCCCCAGTCACTGCCTGGCTCAAATCATAGGATAAGCAGCCTTCTGGGAACTGCCTGGCCCTCGAAGAGTGCTCCTTTGTGTGAGTCTTGCCGCCTGTGTGTTTTGCCCACCCAACTCTCTGCCCGGGCCGGGGCTCACATCTCAACTGACCCTCGCGGCCTGAGGGGAGGGGCTCAGTGGGACTCTGACCAAGAATGAGAACAGTTCCACATGGATGCAAAGCAAGCTTGTGTGTAAAAGCTGGCGTACCTTGACGTCTGGCAGTCACAAATACCCCCGTGTTTTTCCAAGGTAAGCAGGATTTCATCTTTGCTGCCAAAGCGATCAGTGGACTAATAGAAACAAGTAAGAAAACCTATTTAGACTTAGCAATCCCAAACGATCCCTAAAACACAATTTATTTCTGCTTTCAAAACACAGAAAATCAAATTATCTATTACCATTAACTTGGCAACCTTAACATTTATTAAAACCACCATCCTAAAAAAGCAAAACTTGACAATTTCCCAGATATAACCTTAAACTTCACAAATTGGAACTGACCGAAAATGCCAACTTTTCCAAAAAGTGAGCAATTCCACTAAGATATTTTGCTTCATATCTTGATCCTGAATTAATAAGAACTGGCAACAAAAAGAAAAAAATTAACAGGTTAAATCAGCATTCAAAAGAAAAGAGTTACTCAAAAGAAACCCTGAGTTAAAATTGTGAATATGACTAAACAACCACATTTAATTATCTGAAGGTGAGGGGTGACGTCAATAGCTTGATTGTGATGGTTTTACAGCTATACTCATGTCAACAACTACGGAATTGCATACTTTATTTTGTGGTTGAAAACTTTCAGTTACAGAAAGGTAGAAAAAAGGAAAAAAAATCCACCACCAAAATGGCCACTGTTCACACTTTGGTTAGAGTTCTCAGATTTCATACTACGCTTTTTCACACAGGATACGACTCACAGATGACGTACTAATTACAAGTGACAAGCACATGACACGTGAGCGTGTTAAAATAAACGGGACTGCCCACGCTACCAACAGTACTTACTTCCCACAGTACAAAACTGTCCAAACTTATTCTGGGATGCCACGCGCAGCCCATTATCCAGTGTGGTAACTTTGGTTTCAAACTTTTCCTGTCCATCGACTGTAGCGAAAACGGGTGTGGGTGCTCCGGGTAAGGGAGAAGAGAGGGGGATGCTGGGGTAGGCACCGCCACTACTGAACGGTCTGTACACGGGGGCTCCAGACCTAAAACAGGAAGATGGCCCAGTTACAACAGGCTCGAGATGACGAGACCTGCAACGACCACCTAGTGCCGTGAGTCGTGTTCTGTCTGCACGGAGAGTGACATCTCCCGTTCTCAGGGACTTGCTTCCACATGCCTGCAGTCGTGCACGGGAGTGCTCAAAGCACTGTGCCTGGCTGCAAACCCCACCTGGGCCCAGGGACCTGCAGCAAGCGGGTTGTTACTTGGGTCAGAACTGCCATTTCTGTAAGACAGTAAGAACAGCATCTCACCGAGGGGGCCAGGCAGAGTAAATCAGGGCCTACGCACAGGGCACTGGGCAGAGCCCTGCCCTTCAACAGCCCCACAGGACTCCAGAAGCCGCACCCCTCAACCTGGCCAGGAAGGGCCTGAACGGTCTCAACATCAACGGCCTCTCCAAACTCATCTGCTACCGCCCCCCGCAGTCTCATGGCCCATTGATCCATTCCAGGAACACACTTGGCTCGTCACCCCCAAAGTTTGTTCTTTTTGGCCCACTTGCTCTTGTCACATGGCTGACATCTCATCCTTCATCTCTTGGTTTAAATGTCACCTCCTCAGAGAGGCTAACCCTCATCACTCCACCGGAAGTCAGTCTCCCCCGCTATGTTCGATCCCTGAACGCTGCTCATTTATTTCAAAGCATTCACGTGACTGCTGATACCCGTCTGTACCCACTGCCCGCGGACTGCGACTTCCCACCGCGTCCCTGGGCCCGACCCAGGGCTTGGCTATACCTGTTAGCTGAATGGACATGCCAAGGTGGGAAAAGGCGGCCTGGCCACCCGGGCGGGAGGGCAGTGGGGACGGACAAGGCCACTACCAAGAGGCGAGGGGGCGGAGCACGGCAGCCAAGGGCACGGCCCGGGCGGGGACAGAATGCCGGCTCCGCTGGTCGAAGGGGCCGAGGCCCCGCCGGCCTCACAAGG